TTTAATTAATCCTCGAAATTTTAAAGTTTATACTCAATATGTAAACTTTTGACGTTTTACACATTCAATGAATAATGAATATTCCGCATAATTATTACATTTATTTGTCGATTTTATTCCACCAAAATTTTTAATTAAAAGCAAGAAAAAAATAGTTACAAATATAGCTGATAAATGCAAAATAGAAAAGCTAAACTGTTGAACTCTAAGAACGCTGAAGTTTCTTTCCATAAGTGTCAATATTAGCCGTATGCCACAATACGCCTATGTTAAAAATTTTATCCCCACCTGCGATAAACGATGTGAAGATTATTTTAGTAAAGACTAATAAAATAGACAAAAACTCAAAGCTGTTTTTAGTGTTCATAATCACACCTTTGACCAATACATATATACAGCATGCCTGACAGAAAATTTGAACATTTTTCATTAAACAGAACAGAACAAGATAGCCACAAAAAAAGACTACATAGTTATCAATTTTTTGTTCATTACACCTTTTAGAGACTAATTCCTTTCATAAAACACTTTCTAAATTCATTTTAACATATTAAGAAATTAATTTTGACTGTAAAGATAAAAACTTCTTGCAGCTTACTTATTTAGTTGCAGTTATTTAGTCACTGATTCAAACAGAAACAAAAGAACTGAACGTTATATTTACTCCACTAAAAATTACCTTCACCGGTGGAGAAACCCAGCACAAACGAATCCTGAACCGTGGTTTATGTAATGTTTACTATAGAACATCAAAAACATTTCCCAGTAAACTTTTGGTCTGCTTAAAATACCATTCTTAAGCCCGTAGAATCCAGCAAAGACAGTACAGTACAAAATTTTTACCAATAAACCTTTATGTTGCATATGCGAAAACCAAACGAACAACCAAATAAACCTTCATGAATTTGTCCTCTTAAGCTGTGTGAGTACTACAACAAAAAATGACGCATCAAATCTGTGGCTTCAAATTATTGCCACTTTGACACTAATTCAGAAGAAAAAAATTTCTACAGATTTAATGCAAGTCAAACAAAAATTATCAACTCTCTCAAAAGAGGATGAATCTAAAGAAATTTTCTGCCAGATCACACATATCTAGCAGATTAACTTAGCCGAATTAATAAGCCCTAAAACTGTAGATACACTGTTGTTGTACAAGAAGCCAAATCAACAAAGACAAACAGAAATAAACGTTCATAAAAAGATCTTTCGAAAAGGTAGTCAACTGCAAAAACAACCATACGGTTTCGTTCTTAACTTACCGTAACTCCTCTTACACTTTTTAGTTATTCAGCAATAAAACTGAATATAAAATGTTTATAGCTTTCTGAACCTTTGTTGAACAGTTGAACAACCTAAGTATTAGAAAAGAGAATCAAAAAAAGAGACCAGATAAGCACAGCAATTACAAAACCTATTGAGAAAAATGTTAAAAGTTCAAATAAAAATGAAAAAACTCTTGAATACTCCAAATCGTTTAACCAATTTAACTCAACTTATACAACACGTGCAATTTCAGTTTCTTGTATTACTTCATCTCCTTTATGCCACTTCATTTTTGCGAGCCCTCGCAGGATAAATCGACTTTCGCTAAACATTCACAACAGAACAGAACAGTTAACCAAACGTAGCATAAAAAAAAAAGTTTTTTTTTTTTTTGCCCGGCAACGGCTCCAACTTTTCCTTCAGTGTTCCCGAATCTTTTTTTTTTTGCTATAAATGCCGCAATTACCCAAGATTTCCATTTTAAAAAGAAGACGGTCATTTCTGTACTGTAGTTATGGTGAAAAGTATGCTCCAAATAGATGAAGAAAGGTATAAAACAAAAATAAATGTATTTACATAACAAAAAAAAAA